CTAATACTACTAATAATAATACTTTATTTATATTGTGCCCTATCTCCCTGGGGGGACTCAGGGTTAGGGTTAGGAGGAGAGGGCGGAGCTATATGGTACATATTACTTACTTACTTAGGCGATCCCTTGTTGGACGAGTAAGATGGTCTTCCATGATGGGTTTCCTTGTGGATTCGTAGGTGGCTGTGGAGCCCTATTCTTGACCCGCATCTTCTCCCACAGTGAAGGCATTGGTTTCCAGGTGGAAGGCAGTCCCGGTCGGGGTTGGCTTGACGCGCCTTCCTCCTGGCACGTTTCTCTCTTTCACCCTCCACTCGTGCCTCCTCGAATTCTGCAGCACTGCTGGTCACAGCTGACCTCCAGCTGGAGCGCTCAAGGGCCAGGGCTTCCCAGTTCTCAGTGTCTATGCCAGAGTTTTTAAGGTTGGCTTTGAGCCCATCTTTAAATCTCTTTTCCTGTCCACCAACATTCCGTTTTCTGTTCTTGAGTTCAGAGTAGAGCAACTGCTTTGGGAGACGGTGGTCAGGCATTCGGACAATGTGGCCTGTCTAGTGGAGTTGATGATGGAGGACCATCGCTTCAATGCTGGTGGTCTTTGCTTCTTCCAACACACTGACATTTGTCCGCCTGTCTTCCCAAGAGATTTGCAGGATTTTTTGGGGAAAACACTGATGGAATCGTTCCAGGAGTTGCATGTGACGTCTGTAGACAGTCCACGTTTCGCAGGCGTATAGCAGGGTTGGGAGGACAATAGCTTTATAGACAAGCACCTTGGTCTCCCTACGGATGTCCCGGTCCTCAAACACTCTCTGCTTCATTCTGGAAAATGCTGCACTTGCAGAGCTCAGGCGGTGTTGTATTTCGGCGTCGATGTTGACTTTGGTGGAGAGGTGGCTGCCAATGATCAACATTTCCTAATGTATTGTCGAAGGCTTTCATGGCCGGAATCACTCAGTTCTTGTGGGTTTTTTCGGGCTATATGGCCATGTTCTAGAGGCATTTCTCCTGACGTTTCACCTGCATCTATGGCAAGCTTCCAGGATGCTTGCCATAGATGCAGGCAAAACGTCAGGAGAAATGCCTCTAGAACATGACCCTATAGCCCGAAAAACCCCACAAGAATCTAATGGTCAACATTTTCTAATGTTACACCATTAAGCTGTATCTCTGGCATTGGGAGGGGATGGCTGTCATCCCCAAGCTTCTGCCAACCTAGCAGTTTGAAAACATGCAAATGTGACTAGATCAATAGGTACCACTCCATGCAATCATGCCAGCCACATGAACTTGAAGGTGTCTATGGACAATGCCAGCTGTTCGGCTTAGAAACAGAGATGAGCACCAACTCCCAGAGTCAGACACGACTAGACTTAATTTTAGGGGAAAAACTTTATCTTTATCTTTACTTATCCCGTTTTTGACACGTGGAAGCCCTTTGGGTGCCCTTGGGCAGGTCACACTCTCTCAGCCTCAAAGGAAGGCAAAGGCAAATCCACTCCGAACACATCTGGCCAAGAAAACCCTGTGATAGGTTCAACATAAGGTTTCCATTCACTGGAAGTGGCTTGAGGGCAAGCAGAAACAACAAATATTGCCAACTCGCAATGGATGTGCGGTGCATTACTTCTCCTACCTAACCCTTGGACCACACCTCCATAATGTATGGAAATGTGATCCAGAAGTTTGGTAGCTGTAGTCATGATGCTAGTAGTAGCAGCAGCAGCAAAGTCTGGCACGTTTCCAACTAGAAGCCCAATGAAAGATTTGTGTGACGGGAAACCCCCTCTTCAACAACAACGTGGTTGCCTTCTATTCATTTTTGGCAGAGACGTTGTCGTTTTGAATGCTGGTGCCTCCCCCCCCTCCCATTGTAATGCATGTTTGATGGCCTGATACATTTCGCTGTAATTGCTTTGCTGGTGATTTATTCTTTATTTGAAAGATCTTGGGCAGCGGCAGCGTGTCTGTTGTGTAGCCCAAGTGGGAAAGGATGGGAAGCTTCAGACACTGAAATGTAGAAACTTGAGTTTTGGAATCCTTTTTTAAACATTGTGAGTAATTTCGTTCCACTTTAATATTCTCTTTCTGTAGTTTTAAAGCTACCTTGCTCTTTGCACTTTGGGGAGAAAGAGAGCTATCTATTGCAGTCATCCCTCCACACCTGCAGGTTTGGCTTTTCCAGATTTATTAGAAATTGGAAGTACTGCAAATCCCATCATCATGGTCCATTCTCCCCCACACTGCACCTGGACATAAAGTGGTTAATTCAGGGTCTGTGTGTCAAGTTCAGATTCGGTCATGCGTGGGGATTCAGGTCTGTCATGCATGGGGGTCGCAGTGGTCTCTGGAAGTGAGTGAAGGTACTGCAAATCCCGTCATCCATGGTCCATTCTCCCCCACACTGCGCCAGGATGTAAAGTTGCTAATGCAGGGTCTGTGTGCCAAGTTCAGGTCCGATTATGCGTGGGGGTTCAGGTCCGTCATGCGTGGGGGTCGCAGTGGTCTCTGGAAGTGAGTGACGGTACTGCAAATCCCATCATACATGGTCCATTCTCCCCCACACTGCACCAGGACGTAAAGTGGCTAATGCAGGGTCTGTGTACCAAGTTCAGGTCCAGTCATGCGTGTGGGTTTGGATCCGTCATGCAAGGGGGTTGCAGTGGTCTCTGGAAGTGAGTGATGGTACTGCGAATCCCATCATACATGGTCCATTCCCCCCCACACTGCACCAGGATGTAAAGTGCTTAATGCAGAGTCTGTGTGCCAAGTTTGTTTCAGGTCCATCATGCATGGGGGTCACAGTGGTCTCTGGAAGGGAGTGACGGTACTGCAAATCCCATCATATATGGTCCATTCTCCCCCACACTGCACCAGGACATAAAGTGCTTAATGCAGAGTCTGTGTGCCAAGTTTGTTTTAGGCCCATCATGCGTGGGGGTCACGGTGGTTTCTGGAAGTGGGTGAAGGTACTGCAAATCCCATCATCCATGATCCATTCTTCCCCACACTGTACCAGGACGCAAAGTGGTTCATGAAGGGTCTGTGTACCAAGTTTGTTTCAGGTCCATCATGTGTGGGGGTTGCAGTGGTCTCTGGAAGTGAGTGATGTGTGTGATGGCACTGAAAATCCCATCATCCATGGTCTGTCCTCCCCCAAACTGCACCAAGACATACAGTAGGTCATGGGGGCTTTGTGTGCCAAGTTTGGTCTATTTTTGGCAGAGTTCTAGAGTACTCATTAAATGCAAGTGAACTATAACTCCCAGTACCTACAACTTCAAAATGTTCAAGCCAATTTCCCCTCAAAACCCAGCAATATTGGGCATATTGCCATGGTTCTCAATCTGTGGGTCCCCAGATGTTTTGGTCTTCAACTCCCAGAAATCCTAATACCTGGTAAATTGGCTGGGATTTCTAGGCCAAAACATCTGGGGATCCGCTGGTTGAGAACCACTGGCATATCAGGTATGCATGCCAAGTTTGGCCCAGATCCATCATTGTTTGGGTTCTGGATGTAGGTGAACCACAACTCCTCTAAATCCCTCCAAAGACCTCCAGTATTTTTTGTTGATCATGGGGGTTCTGTGTGCAAAGTAAGTTCCAGTTCCATTGTTGGTGGAGTTGAGTGCAGTTCTTAGATTGCAGGTGAAGTATACATCCCAGTACCTCCGACTCCTATAAATCATAGTGAATTCTCCCCAAACCTCTCTAGTATGTTCAGTTGCTGATCAATTCCTCTGTTTGCTGTGTACCATAGAAAAGAATAGAAAAGGGTTAAGGGAGAGGCAGTGGGCGGGGTCATGCAAATTCCACACCAATGGAGAGAATCAGAAACACTGGGATGTCTGTAGTGGAGGAAACACATGAAACCTACGATGGAATTGTCCCTGTATGAAAGCCTTCACTTAGATGGTGGGCAGTGGGGTGTTTGTGGAGGACATTGGCAGGGCTCTTGGACATGTTCATGGCGCTCACTATAACCTGAAACATCATTGGAGGAAGGGCCATTGGTGTCTTCTGAGTAGTGGGAGCTAGAGCTGTTTGTGGAAGTGAGAGCCTGTCTGTGTAAGTGGACATCCCAGCCACATACACACGCATATATATTTTCACTTTTTATGTATAGATATTTAAGGGATCTTCCAAACAGGCCCTGTATCCCAGGATCTGATTCTAGGTTTATCCCAGATTATCTGGCAGTTTAAAGCAGAAAACCTGAGATCGGATCCTGGGATATAGGGCCAGTCTCCTTCTCATCTTCCTCCTCCTTCTCCTTCTTCTCCTTCTCCTCTTTCTCTTTCTCCTTGTACTTCTTCTTTTTCTCCTCCTCCTTTTACTTTTCCTTCTCCTTCTCTTCCTCTTCCTCCTCCTAATTTTTCCTCCTCCTCTCTTTCTTCTTCTAGTTCTTGTTCTTCTCATTTTTCTCCTTCTTCTCCTTCTCATCCTCCTCCTTCCTCTTCTCCTTCTGCTTCTTCTACTTGTTTTTCATCTCCTTTTCCTCCTCCTCCTTCTAATTCTCCTCCTCCTCTCCTTCTTCTCCTAGTTCTTACTCTTCTCTTTCATCCCCTCCTTCTCCTTCTCCTCCTCTCCCTCCTTCTCATTCTCTCTCTTTTCTTTCTTCTTCTCCTCCACATTCTTCTCTTTCTCTTTCTCCTCCTCCTTCTTTTTCATCTCATCCTTTTCCTCCTTCTTCTCCTTGTTCTTCTAATTCTCCTCCTTTTCTCCTTCTTCTCCTACTTCTCCTTCTTCTCCTTCTCATCCTCCTCTTCCTTCTCCTTTTTCTGCCCCTCTCCTCTTCTCTTTCTTCTCTCTCCTTCTCTTCTTCTTTCCTTCTTTTCCTTTTCCTCTTCCTCCTGCTTCTCCTTCTAATTCCCCTCCTCCTCTCCTTCTTATCCTAGTTCTTGTTCTCCTCCTCCTTCTCATCCTTCTTTTTCTCTTTCTCCTCCTCCTCTTCCTTTTCCTCTTCTTCCTTCTCCTCCTTCTCTCCTTCTTTCCCTCCTACTTCTCTTCCTCCTTCCCCTTCTTCCCCTAAGCAGCCAGCTGCATTGGCCTTGGCAAAGGCTGGGATCCCCTCCCCACGCCCACCCTTCCCCCAGCCATCCCTACCAGTGGCTGACACTGTGATGAATTCAGCAGCACAGCCTGCTCTGTGTCTCCCTCTTTCTTCCTTTCTCCCTCTCCCTCTCTCTTTCTCTCTGTAGCTGTGCATGTGTGTGCGCTCTCTCGTGTGCCTGTGTGCCAGCGAACAAGAGAGAGAGAGAGAGAGAGAGTCTCTATGTGCCTCAGCCTCCTCCGAAAAGCGGCAGTGGAAGCAGGCGAAGGAGGTGGGGACCATGCAGCTGCCCCAACTCTTGGGCCCCCCTGCCAGCCGGGTCCCCCTGGTTTGGATGCCAGCCGGCTCCAAGTTCCTCTGCATCGAGGTAGGCACAATCTTCCTTCCCCTCCCCATGAGTCAGACAGACACACATACACTCATCTATCCCTTCCTTCCTTCTTTCTCCTTCCTTCCCTTTTCTCTTTGTCTCCTCCCTGTCATCCTTCCTTCTTTCCTTCCCTTCCCTTCCCTTCCTCCCTCCCTTTGCCTTTGTCTGGCATGGCCTTTGTCTGGGAGGAAGCAGAGAGCCATTCTTTCCCCAACCCAGGCCCACCTCTCCAGGGCTCTTGGCGCTGTCCATCCCTTCAGCTCCCTGCCAATCCCTTTTTGGTCAGCATTGGACTGGCTAGATGGCACGGCCCCTCCCTAGAGGACCTTCCCTTGTCTTTTGTATGGAGCTTGGTATGAAGATATGTGGGGAAAGGAGGGACGAGAAAGACCATGACCGGTTGTATGTTTTGGGGAAACGATTTGGGTAAGATGGGGGAGAAATCTTGCAATGTATGAGGGTGGAGCTGATATATTTTTTCCCTTCTGCATAGGAAGAAAAAAGATAGAGATGCAGCCTTCCTTCTCAATGGGAGGGTGGGTGAGTGGGGGAGATGCCCAGTTGTTCGTTGGCGCACACGTTTTCGTTGTGTCTGTGATAACAAGGATGCCCCTTGTGCTGTCCTTTCGGGGGCTGGCATTGAAGTTGGCAGGGTGGGGCTTTGAGGGGCTCATTTGTGCCAGAGGAGCATGAGCCCTCCCCCTTGGCACAGGCGTGCTCCGCGTGGGTGTGGCTGGCACGCGCTAAGGACCCCCGAGAGTCAAAATGGAAGGCCAAGGAGCTGCCACCGTCTCCAAAGCAAGCGAGGCTCTCTCTCGTAGAACACAGCAAGCCTGAAATAGCTCTCTTTCCGCCGTCGCTTTATCTGGCGGCGTGTTCCCAGCCTCCATCCCACACTCCACAATATGCCAGGCGTGGAAGATGGAAGCCGGGGGTGAAGGTGTGGCTGAGGATGGAGGGAGGGCAGCAACGGGCAGGAAATACATACAGCCAACACAGGAAATGCTTTCCTGGATTAGCAAGGGGCACATTCTGGAGCGCTGGCAAGGGACTTGGGAGATATTGTCCCCAATCCTTCCCCACCCACTTATTACTTATTACCATATTTCCTCAAGTCTAATGTGCCATCGAATCTAATGCACACGTCAGTTTTCGGCAAGGGGCACATTCTGGAGCACTGGCAAGGTACTTGCGAGACATTGTCCCTAATCCTTCCCCACCCATTTACGACCGTATTTACTCAAATCTCCTTCCCCACCCATTTATGACTGTATTTACTAGAGTCTAATGCGCCATCAAATCTAATGCGCACGTCAGTTTTCAGCAAGGGGCACATTCTGGAGTGCTGGCAAGGGACTTGGGAGACATTGTCCCCAATCCTTCCCCACCCATTTACGACCATATTTACTCGAATCTAACGCACCATCGAATCTAATGCACAGGTCAGTTTGTGGCAAGGGGCARGTTCTGGAGCGCTGGCAAGGTATTTGGGAGACATTGTCCCCAACCCTTCCCCACCCATTTACGACCSTATTTACTCAAATCTAATGCACCATCGAATCTAATCTGCACATCAGTTTTCAGCAATGGGCACGATCAGGAGCACTGGCAAGGATCTTGGGAAATATTGTCCRSAATCCTTRCCCACRCWTTTARGACCGTATTTACTCAAATCTAARGCACCAMRGAATCTAATGKGCTCATCAGTTTTCYGCAAGGGGCAKGTTRTGMWGCYCTYGCAAYGMACTTGGGAYATATTGTCCRCAATKRTTCCCCACRCWTTTARYACWGTATTMAKTCYAYTCTAARYCACCATCGAATCTAATGCTCACARCWGTTTTRYGCAAGGGACACATTCTGGAGCGCTGGCAAGGTACTTGGGAGACATTGTCCCCAATCCTTCCCCACCCATTTACGACCGTATTTACTCGAATCTAATGCACCTTCGAATCTAATCCGCACATCAGTTTTCAGCAATGGGCACGATCAGGAACGCTGGCAAGGATCTTGGGAAATATTGTCCCCAATCCTTCCCCACTCTTTTATGACCGTATTTACTCAAATCTAACGCACAATCGAATCTAATGCGCATGTCAGTTTTCTGCAAGGGGCACATTCTGTTGTGCTGACAAGGGACTTGGGAGATATTGTTCGCAATCCTTCCTCACCCATTAACGACAGTATTTACTCGAGTCTAATGCAGCATTGAATTTAATGCACACATCAGATTTTGGCAAGAGGCATGTTCTGGAGCGCTGGCAAGGGACTTGGGAGATATTGCCCCAACCCTTCCCCACCCATTTACGACCGTTTTTACTCGAGTCTAATGCACCATCGAATCTAATGCTCACGTTGGTTTTCGGCAAGGGGCACATTCTGGAGCACTGGCCAGGGACTTGGGAGATATTGTCTCCAATCCTTCCCCACCCGTTTATGATTGTATTTACTCGAGTCTAATGCACCATCAAATCTAATGCACACATCAATTTTCAAAACCCTGAAACCAAAAGGAAGCATTCGTTGCTGAATGTGATGCACAGCAGCAAAAAGTGCTTTCTTTGTAATTTTGAATACCAAAGCTCTCATCATCATCATCATCATCATCTTATTATTATTATTATTATTATTATTATTAATATTATTATTATTGACTTCATTTATATCCCACCCTTCTCTACCCCGAAGGGGACTCAGCGGTGTTACAAATTAGGCAGCAATTTGATAGCAAAACATAAACATACCATAAAATAGACATTTACAATAAAGCCAAACAATGCAATTTAAAACCAGCAATGGAATACGTAAACCTTGGGATGCATCTATGCCAGGCTTGGGCAAACTTTGGCCCTCCAGGTTTTTTGGACTTCAACTCCCACCATTCCTAACAGCCTCAGACCCTTTCCTTTCCCCCCTAAGCCCCTTTAGAGATATGCACAAGTATACATTCCATCACTTTCAAATACTTCTAAGACAGTGGTTCTCAAACTTCCTAATGCTGCAACCCCTTAATACAGTTCCTCATGTTGTGGCCCCCAAACATAACATTATTTTCTTTGCTACTTCATAACTGTAATTTACTACTGTTATGAATCATCATGTAAATATCTGATATGTAGATGGATTTTCATTCACTGAACCAAATTTGGCACAAACACCCAATATGCCCAAATTTGAATAACGGTGTAGTTGAGGGAGAACATTCATTTTGTAGTTGCTGGGATTTACAGTTCACTTACAATCAAAGAGCATTCTGAACACCAATGATAGAATTGAACCAAACTTGGCACACAGAACTCCCATGACCAACAGAAAATACTGGAAAGGGGTTTGATGGGCATTGACCTTGAGTTTGGGAGTTGTAGTTCACCTGCATCCAGAGAGCACCGTGGACTCAAACAATGATGGATCTGGACTTAACTCGGGACGAATACTTAATATGCCCAAATGTGAACACTGGTAGAGTTTGGGGAAAATAGACCTTGACATTTCAGAGTTGTAGTTGCTGGGACTTATAGTGCACATACAATCAAAGAGCATTCTGAACACTACCAATGATGGAATTGAAGCAAATTTGGCACACAGGACTCCGATGACCAAGAGAAATACTGCAAGGGTTTGGTGGGCATTGACCTTGAGTTTTAGAGTTGTAGTTTGACTACATCCAGAGAGCATTGTGGATTCAAACAATGGTGGATCTGGACCAGGCTTAGCATGAATACTCAGTATGCCCAAATGTGAACACTGGCAGAGTTTGGGGGAAATAGACCTTGACATTTGGGAGTTCTAAACCAGGCATGGGCAAAGTTTGCCCATATCTGGTCCAGACGAAGGCATAGTGTCAGCCACTTCTTTTCCTTTGGGATGAAGGCAGTGGCACTTGGGATGGAGAGAGGGTCTTTCATCTGCTTCCGGGCCCAGACACAATAGAGCTGTGCCTATCTCTTCTTCTCTTCTTCGAAAGACAAGGCAGTGAAAGCTCTCTCTTTGCCTGGCCATCTAAGACCAAGTGAACTGCCTTTCCTAGAACTGCCCAAGAGTAACAATAATATTGTTGATTCTTTGGCATTTTGGACAGGCTGTGTGGTTCCTGGGGAAATATGCTATGCTAATAATATACTAATAATATAATATGTAATATATTGTATATACATATAATATTTATAATATTATAATGTATAATATTATAATGTAATGCAATATAAGGAGCCTCCGGTGACACAATGGGTTTGTTGACCAAAAGGTCGCAGGTTCAAATCCAGGGAATAGCGTGAGCTTCTGCTGTCAGCCCCAACTTTTGCCAACATAGCAGTTTGAAAACATGCAAATGTGAGTAGATCAATAGGTACCGCTCTGGCGGGAAGGTAATGGCGCTCCATGCAGTCATGCCAGTGGCCACATGACCTTGGAGGTGTCTATGGACAACGCTGGCTCTTTGGCTTAGAAATTGAGATGAGCACCAAACCCCAGAGTCGGATACAACTGGACTTAATGTCAGGGGAAAACCTTTACCTTAATGCAATATAATACTAATACTACTACCAATAATAATAATATGATATTATAATTATATATTTATATTACATGTACTATTACTAATAATATTGCACCATAGTGGTATAGTACAATATAGTAATATTTAAGACTGATATTCCAATTCAATTCCAATTCCAATTCCAATTCAATTCCAATTCCAATTAGGTGATCCCTCGTTGACCGAGTAGGATAGTCTTCCAGGATCAGTGTTTCGGTGTGTCCGTAGGTGACTGTGGAGCCCTATTCTTGATCCGCATCTTCTCCCGCAGTGAGGGCATTGGCTTCCAGGTGAAAGGCAGTCCCAGTCGGGGTTGGCTTGATGTGCCTTCCTCTTGGCACGTTTCTCTTTTTCGCCCTCCATTTGTGCCTCTTCAAATTCTGCAGCACTGCTGGTCACAGCTAACCTCCAGCTGGAGCACTCAAGGGCCAGGGCTTCCCAGTTCTCAGTGTCTATGCCAGTAAGA